ATGACCATGGGGTGCTGCAACAGTCATAAGTGCAAGGACTGATAATAAGTCACTTTTTTTTAGTGCCATTTCAAACAATCACCAAACAAATGGTCCTACATTGAGGACTACCTGTAATCAATTCACATTATTCGTCATCTTCCCCACATATTGCTGAGGGTCTATTCTTCTTCAGTGGATTTATTTATGTATAGATTTGCAAGAAGGACTGCATGATCTTAAGCCATAGTCAATACCAGGTCTTTTTTCTCTCTGTTTGAATAGAGCTTTCCCACTTTTGCTTGCACATACATAAATCAATTTGATTTTGCTATTGTCTATCCAATTATGCCCATATGTAGAGTTGTCTTTTCAATTTTTGAAAGAAGACATTTACTTTAAACTTTGGGTTTTTATTGAATTTTCCTGGTAGCACTCTTCATTTATACATCAAGGCAAATTTTCCCATTATGCCCCATGTTATTTTACATTCAACTTTCTAGTCTCCTGCAAAAAAAAATCTGTCTTAAATATTACAGCATATTATATTCAGAAATTTTCACATATGTAGGATGATTTTCTTCGGAAAGGATACTTGGTACAAAGAAGCATGTTTCAGAAATAACAGATTCCCTGGAAGTTCCCACTACCCATAATTAACTATATAAATTTCTATGTTTATATCTGAAATCTTTATCTGAATGCATCACTTTTGCTGAGGGAGTCCAGAAACAAACATCCCAAGGCAAAATTTTAACTCCTTTTCTCTAAGTGGGAAATGAAGAAAATTGGCACTTTTTCTAGATGCCCCCATCTACTTAGTAGGTGGGTAATACTGAGTGGCATCTCAACATATCCCAAGAGAAAAACTGCATTTCTTGAAATCAGAAGGAGTCTGATTTGATTATTCTGATTTTCAGAATACTACATTTTATTGAAAGGCCTAAGCATATGTGAACTGTAGTTCACTTCACCTGATGCATGGAGTAGTTAAACTGAGGTAAAATCACCAACATGTTTCTCCTCCTACAACGCATTCTCCCTAGGGCAGTGGCCCCCAGTCTTTTGGGCACCAGGGACTGGTTCAGTGAAGAAAGGTTTTTCTACAGACAGAGGGAGCATGGTTTGCATGCTGCCTGCATCCCGCAGATGGGGCTTTGCTTGTTTGCGCAGCCCAGTTGCTGACATGCGACAGACTGCTGCAGGTCCACAGACCGGGAGTTGGGGACCCCTGCCTAGGGGGCTTATAATTCTTGTACATGTGACTTTTGGTGGCATTCAGATATTGGATAAGAACTGAACTATACATATATTTAAGGGCCTGGGCCACATAATTTACAGCTTTTACAATCTTCTGTAAAAAGTGATAGTTTACTTATCAGCTATTTCATATGAAGTAGCCATCACGTATCATGGAATATCTGCTCTGCATCTGACTTGTAGGTTGTCTTCTCTGACTTTTTTCTTGCCCCCTCCCCCTCTGGATGCTAGTGCCATAATTCTGAATTTCCTCATAATGGGACTTTGCTTCTCCCAACTCCAGTTCTTTTTTTCCCTCTTCCATCTTAGTGGCCCTTCTTGCTGAGTTGGTAGAGAAATCAGAGAATTGGTGTGTTTTGCTTTTGTTTTTTTTTAACAAACCAAAGTTAGGATTTGTCTTGTGTTGTTCCAAGTCCCCTGCCATATAAAAAAGGCATTTCCTTCTTGGAAAGCACTGGATGTGATCTTCCACCCATGGAATGTCATAGGGTCTTCATTCATACCTTATCTTAAGTGAGACTGGGTTATCACCTGGAAATGCCCATCCTTTCTGTCCTGTATAGTTTTCCTGTTTCAAAGCAAGTTGGCTGCAGACTGTGGGTATGATATAAGGGCGATGTGGCTCAGAGCCACACTTGCAGGAATCCTATGGTATCATCAGCTTCTGCTGGACATAAAGCTGGTTTATGTCAATTACTGTTTGGGTATAACAAGCAGTGTGAATTCCAAGGCATGTTTCTCCTATTATGCTAAAATTGACGAAGCCATCAGTACGCTGACCTTGACTGACGAGTTTTGATAGACTTGTTATGAGGGTGAATTTTTCTACAGAGAAAGTACGTATTAGGTACGTATCTGTCACTTCTTTCATTCCACTACATCATGATGCATTCAGATTATATTTCCAGAAGCTTTCATTTCTGGGCTGACAGCACCACACCACAAATATTACAAAGAGATAATGCCTTTTAATCGCATTTTGAGCTAGCTAGATTTAATATAATGAATGGTGCATATTTATGTAGGGACATATATCTGTCTATGGGAAGCAGTTTATAATGACTAAGAAAAAAGACTGCTTAATCAGAGGTGTGCCAGTCAGGAATAAATCACTGTTGCCTTTAGGAATTTCATGTCATAGATCCAACACAAAGGCTTTAAGTACAGGTACCTAATAATTAAATCTTATTACACTTCACTTTAAATGGAAAACTTGTTTGCTTTGGAACTTCCCTTTTGTTAAAGCCACACATTTAAAACACAGAAAAAGTTTTAGACTAGAATGTTGAAGTTTTTTTTCCATGACAATAGAGCAATTCATTGTTATTGAGGTACAGTTTCAGCCAAATGGAAAGGCAGGATTGTGATTCAGAATTAAGTCAATTAGTCATGTCTTTCATTATGTATTTGTTCTGAAATATGGCATACTCCTTAATATTTTAGTCTGTAAACTGACTGCTTGTTTGAAAACCAATGTTAATTTACAGCTGTCAGGAGCCGGCATTCAGCCCAGGGACAGACCATTCCTGCATAAAGCAAATGCCAATATACACTTGAAAAGGCAGAACCAAAGATCTGAAGCCACATTCCATTTTCCAAAGAAAAATAAAATAATTCTAATTCAAAATCTGAAGAGAGTAAAGACAGATTGTCTATGCACAATAAGAAACAAATGCCATTAAGGAAGAAGACAAGATGAAAAGTGAATTCCAATTGGAACAGAATTCCTAGAGGAACCGATAGATAAAATTACATTCCTTTGTTTTAGGAGGAAAAGGAGCTTTCAAATTTCCTATTTAGCTTCATGTTTCCTATTTAGAAAAAAGAATAAGAATGTTGGAGAATGGGAGGGGAAAAAATCCAGGGAGTCAAAATGAAAGGATGTCTTGTCCAAACATCTTTTAGACTACATCAGAAACCTAAGATTGTCCATCCTGCTGAGATTCTTGCATTAGGTTTTTACTTTCTTTGAACTGTAGGCAGAACATTACATTCACTTCCCTGGTTTGTTTTTAGAGGTGATAATAACTACCTAAGTAACTACCACAGGCCAGAGAATAGTACAACCAGTTACACAAACTCAAGGAGACTTTGGCTTTGGTTTTTCCAGCAGCAGCTTCTGTTCTCCTGCCAAGACTCTTATATATCCGAAGGGTGATTTGTTAAAATGATTTCTGATGGGATATTCAAGTTAATTTAACGTGTTCTTTTTTAACTTCACAGAACAATTAAACTCTTTCTGCACAGCCAAGTAATTTTCCAATCTGACCATAATTGTTAATGTTGTTTAAGTAACTTTTGCTTTTCAAAAGTTTAGAGTCTTTTTGTTTCTTTGCTCTAAAGCAGCGTTTCATAGCTGTAGGAATTTTAAAATGGGTGGACTTTAACTCCTATAATTCTCCAGCCAGGAACTGACTGCTCTAAAGTAGTTTATAATCATTTCCATCTTAGAGATGGGGGAAAAAGAAGTAAAAGCAAAGCCTATCACATCCAAGATTAACACTAACAAGCTCAACAAATTTGATTTAAAAGAGCCAGGTTGCTCTAATGATTAAAGTACCAGGCTAAAAACCAAGAATCTACATTTTCTTAGTTCCATTGAGTTTTAGCTATGAAAACCAGCTGGGTGACTTTGAGCCAATCATTCTTTCTCTCAGCCTAAGTTACTACTCATAGGGTTTTGGGAGGCGGGGGTGAAAATAGGAGAAGAAAGGAGTAGTAGCTGTGTTTGACATCTTGAGTTATTTATAATAATAAAATAAAAAAGGATCTTAAATAAGAGTTTTAGAAGACAGTAAAGTAGAAACGAATCTAACCCTGTGGGAGAAGAACTACAATCAGGACACCGTCTAGTTAAATTATTTCAATAGAAAACAGGGCTGGCTATTGTCAAAATCCATTGAATATTCATATCCTGTAATACATTTAAAGAATGAAAGGGGCTTCATCTCCTTTCTGAGTAAATTCTGAGGCAGCCTGTCTTGTAATGTATCTCCCTCCCTTCCTCAAACTCCTGTGCCAACGTAAACTTGAAGAAACGTGGCTGGAGCTTGCAACGTCCCACCCCTTCTATGCTGCCCAATATGCAAACTGCAGCATTATAACCGGGGAGGTTTTTCCTAGACTGACTTAAAATTTCACGAAGCATCTCACTTTCAGGGAAGCTGCGCCTTGAAACTCCCACAAAAGTTTCCAAGCAACTCACCCTCTGGCTTAAAAATTAAAAATTGCAAGCCAGGAATATAACATCGGAGAGCCCGGGGTTGGAGAACAGTTTCTAACGTGTTTAGATACACGCTTGAGATGTAGCGATTGGTTTGGGGTTTTTTTTTGCTGCTTTTTTTTTTAAGTTTTGGGAGACAAGTTGCAACCGACTTGTTTATTCGGCCACGCGTTTCACGCCGGCGACACTTTCTAGGTGCCAGCCGCGAATATGCCTGGGCTGCCCTCCCGGGAGCCGTCCGAAAAAGAGGCTGAATCGCCCAGATTTTCTTCTCCTCGCTCCTCACTCGCTAAAAACCAAGGCTGGCATTGCCCGGGGGGGGGGGGGAATAAATTAAATCCTGGCTCGACCCGGGGGAGTTTCGGTGCACAGCATTTCGTGAAAGCACCCAGAGAAGGGGAAGGGGGCGAAAAAAGATCCAAAAATGTTCCAAGGACACTGTTTTTTTTTCTGACCCAGGAATGCACCGCTTCTTCGCGGCGGTGCGCTCCAGCAGCTCCCGGGGCGGTCTTGGCAGCCCGCGCCGCCGCCTACTCACCATCTCTTTACGGAGCAGGGCCAAGGCGGCGTCGAGGTTAGGGGGCTTGGGCGGGCGAGGAGATCCTCGCCCCCCGCCGCCGCCGCCGCCGCTACCTCTCCGGCTCAGCTCGTCCTGAATGCGAGACTTCTGCGCGTAGAGTCGCTCCAGGTCCCTCCAGCGCCCCCCGGCTCCGCCAGGGGCGCCTCCGCTGGAAGAAGAATTCAATAAGCCGCTCAGGCTCTTGGGCAGCGGAGGCAGCCCCGACCCGCCGCTGTCGATGCTCCAAGGCAGCCCCGGCGCGCTCATGGTGCTCGGAGGGAACGTCGGCTGGAAGGCAAAGCGACTTAATCCGCGGCGACAAAACAACGCCGCGCCGCCTCTCCTCCAGCCTGCATTGAGAAAAAAAAAAAAGGCTCTTTCTGTCCGGCTCGGGCCCGCCCCCTTTGGCCGGCCTCGCCTCAGCCCGCCCCGCCCTCTCCGGGCCTTCGCTTTCAGGACCGGCCCTGAAAGGAAACGAAGAGCGAGCGAGCGAGCAAGAGAGCAGTCGGGAAGGAGGAGCGGCCGAAATGGAAGGCGTGAAATGGGACTGTCCCCTCAGCTGTCCTCCTGTGAGTTCCACCCAGCAAAGTCAGCGAGGCAGCGCGTCGTTCAAAGAACTGAAACAGATAATCGGCAGTCCTCGACTTACGGCCACAACTGAGCCCAACATTTAGGCTGAGTAGGAATTAAAGTGAGTGTTCTCCAGTTTTATGACACTTCTTGCCAGTTGTTAAGGAGTCGCTGCAGTTGATAAGTGAAGTGAATTTGGCTTCCTCATTGGCTTTACAAAGTCAGAAGGTTGCAAAAAAAAAAAAGTGATCACATGACCCCTGGGGGGATGGGAACGCTGCCAAGGGTCATAAGTATGAACCAGTTGCCAAGCATCTGAATTTTGATCACATGATCATGGGGATGCTGCAAAAGTTGTAACTGCAACATGGCCATAAGTCACGTTTTTCAGTGCCATTGTAACTTCAAACGGTCACTAAATGAACTGCTGTAACTCGAGGGCTATCTGTACGTGCCTTCCAGTCCGTGTCGACTCTTCAGCGACGGTGTAGCTAGACTTTCTCCCAGCAATCCATCTGTCACCTGGTTTTTGGCTGTATGGGGAGAAAATCTGGAGCCTGGATTCTTTTCCAAAACTCCTCTCCGTTTTTCCAACTTGGAGAAATAAGGAACCACTGCAATAATTGTAAGAGAGAGTTAGATTGGGGTAGGGGTTAAAAGGCTGCAAACTCAGCTGGGTGGCCTTGGGCCAGTCACTCTGTCTCTGCCCTAGGAAGCAGGCAAGAGCAATCTGAAATCTTGCCAAGCAAACTGCAGGACTCGTTTGGAAAATTGCCAGGCATTTAAACTAACTGAAAGATGGACGCAAATACAACAGCTTCAAGATATTCATGGCAGTGAGGTTTTAGAAAGATGACACAAACACTGTATTAGCGAATACTGAATCATGGCTCCTTGGGGAAACATATGACACTTGTTTACGGGAGAAGAGCTGGAACAAGGCAGAGCATCGCTTTGTTCGACCTCAGCTGGGAATGTGTGCATCAGACAACCCAAAGGTTTTCCTCTTTTGCAGATGTCCATGAATAATCGTAAAAGCAGCGCAAACATTGAGTTTGGGATTACAAATAAATTTTTGTGAATAGGCAATTCTGAAAATACAAAATATGCAAATTAAGAGGATTAGCTTATGTGTATGCGTGTGTGTGTATACACATACACATATACACACACAGAGAGAGCCAGGGATAATGAATGACAGGTATCGCAATCCAACTGCCCAATCCTGATCTTATTCAAGGTGGTCATTAGGTGTAGATTGCTTTGTGGACTGAATGTGATGGGCAAAACAGATGCATACAGGACCTTCTTGGATTTTAGGAGCTTCCTCTGGCAGGAGAAATCAAATGGCAATATTATACCAACTTTGATTGGACCTAGCGAAATATCTGAATGTGGCCTATGTATACTGACCTAACAGTAGGCCAAATGCAGTGGTGCTTATTTCTAAGTACGTAAAGATTCCCTCAGCTGGACTATATGGATGCATATTGCTCTTCATAATGATGCTATGGAAGTGGCTTGCCACTCACGTCATCCAGAACTGTATGTTTTTAAAAATTATTTCCTAGTCGAGGCTACAGACTGCGATTCCCTGGTGATCTCTCAATCCAGTATTAACTCAGACCTCTGCTTGTGAAGTGAAGCCAGAAGGTTGGCTAGATGCTTCCACCCAAGAGTCTTTAAAATTACATTTTTACTTTTGAAGGTACCATCTTATTTACACTAACTGGAGTTAAGGCCTACTATTAGGTCTTTCATTGAAGTAAGCATGAATGGAGGAATTATTTAACTCCCCATAAGCAAGTAATTTCATAAATGTATCAAATAGCACAATTTATTCAAAACATGTTGCTAAAGTAATGTTGGGAAACCTGTTAAGATAAGGGAATGCTTTGATTGGAAATGGGGTTCAGCTTTTGTCATTCCCAATTTTATCTTTTAATTTGTATATTGATGTATGTTTGAAGTATTTTCTTTTTTTGTTTGTTTGTTTTGGAAGCTTTCATTTTATGATCAAATTTTTAGCAGCTTAGAGCTTTGAGGATGAGGCATTTCATGTAAATGAAATAAATACATAAATTTGCATTTGATTAGCAAAGATATATTACATATAAAGAGCGGTCAAGATAATAGCCATTTGTCCATGCAGTCAAAAAAGGTAAGTCTATGTTGGCTCCACCAGATGCCAATCACTGCATATTTCCACCTGGCTTCCATTTTGCCTTAAAAAAGGAAGAGAGTCTAAATCTGTTTGTTCACAGACTTATTTTAAAAAACGGAATAATAAAATGATAGAAATAGATATAGATAGATGGATGGGTGGACGGATGGAAAAAATGTTTGGTGCAAGCATAGAACTCTTCAAGTCCCTGCATTGAAAATATGATGTCATGCTGAAGAAAGTTGGACAAAAGAAGAAAAAAAAACAGAGTAAGGTAGTTTATCCCAGGAAAAATGTAGGAGCAGCATTACACAGCAGGACATTATTTTCTCCCTCATATATATGGTAGTTCCAGAATTCAAGGCCCTCCAATGTGGTTAAATGATGGGATATTCTAGACACAAAGAAAGAGCCACAGTACTTTTTGAACCAAATTAATTCCCAGAATTTGCTAATACATATAGAAGAATTTGATTGAAATCGTAATGAGTGGGGGGTGATGCTCTTCCATTTATTTAGAGGTGGGAGTCTGTATGTGTGTATGTGGTAAATACAAATGCCTTGACTTTTATTATACAGTCCCTCCAATAGCCTGCAGCCTACCCTGACGCACTCCATCAAAATCCTGAAGAAATTCCTCCCACACCCTGGCCACACCAACGCCCGATTTAGCGAAGGGAGGAAAAAGTCACGATACATCCTGTGATGACACTGTGATGACACATGTTTGACACCCCTGTGGTAGAAGAAACACCCTCATGCAGCAAGGTTATTACATTAAAAGGGAGAAATGTAAGTGGGGCATTTGGAGAAAACAGTGAGGTTTGTGACCACAGATTAGGTCACAACAAATAGGAGTAGAAAATAAAGCTGCATGAGATGCTTTAAGCCAGGGGTGTCCAACCTTGGCAACTTTAAGACTTGTGGACTTCAACTCCCAGAATTCCTCAGCCAGCTTTGCT